CTCGGTTTGCTGCTTCCCCAGGAGCTTTGTCTTCCAGCACAAGCTGGAAGAGCCTTCCTAACTAATTATCTGGAGGCATCGCAGGCAGACACAAAAATCCAACCCACCCAGAACAAGTTTTTTCAGCACATCTATGAGGTATAACTCAATCTCTTACCAGCTCCTCCTGTATCTGCTGCGCTCGTCTCCTTAGCTGGATGTCACACTGATGCCTCAAGAAGCGCCTGAAGGAGGAAAAGAAGCAGAAGAAAAATACAAGCAAACACTCAAACTGTCTCTAACACCCCATGTTACTGTACACCAGCACTCAGGGAGGTACAACTGTGACAATGTGACTTCAAGGCAGCAGAGGAACCTGCTACTGGAATATCTCCTCGTGCCTCAGGTACTGCTGTGGACACAGGAACAGATTCTATCCCAAACAAGCTCCACTCAGTCTCATACCCAAGTTCTCTCTTCCTCCAGTGCTCTTGCATTTGTTTCCTCTCTTCTCCCAAGGTCTTCAGCTGCCACTGCTGCTTTAATAAATTATCTTGTTCTTTTTTCAGCTTTGTTGCCTAAAAAGAAAAACAATCACCCAGGCAGCGTATGTCAGAGAGCTACAACATCCCAAAGAGTGTGTTTGACTGGAGTTTGTACCCTGTTCTGCTCCTCCTAGGTTGGAAAAATCCTCCTTACACTCAATATTCCACATTAATTTGTGCCTCCTGGCTCACAGCACAGAGACACTGAGGAGCTCCAGCTGGAAAAGCCTTTGACCTGAACCTGACACTCTTAATGGTTTCTACAAACCCTTTTCTCATCCAGTGCAGCATAAAAGGGCACTCACACTTCATGGAATCATGGAAAGGTTTGGGTTGGAAGAGACCTTAAAGATCATCTTGTTCCACCCCCTGCCATGGGAAAGGGACATATTCCACTAGACCAAGTTGCTCAGAGCTCCATCCAGCCTGGCCTGGAACACTTTCAGGGACCTCCTTGGGCACTTCAAGAGGAGCAAACTAAAGCTACCAGGGTTCAGTCCACAGGGCAGAGGTCTGCACTACCAGCAGAAACTCTGTCACAGCTCACTTCACTCCACATTTTATCCAGAGCAAACCCTGAGGGAAGAGGTCAGTTCAGCCTCGCTGCATTTCCAAGTGAGGCAGTGACTTCCCTTCTCAGACAAGGAGAAAGTTAAGGTTACCTCTGCCTCCTGTAACTTCAGTTCTTCTATCTGCTGAAGTAACACCTCCTCTTGCTTCTTCTCCAACTGATACTTCCCTTCCTCTTGTCTCACCCTTTCCAGCCCTTCCCTCCGTGCCAGTTCAGACTCATCTTCATAACAGTCTTTCTCTTCCAGTTCAGTTGCCTCTTCCTTTCCAAGCCAAAAGAAAACACAGTTCAAGTTAGGCTAATGCAAACAAACAGCCTCTGGCTCAGAAAATCCCTGAACAGACTCCTGCAAGCTGGATGGCTCTGTCCAGTGCCCTTCCTGCTGGCAGCCCCTGTGGTTCTGCATCACCAGAACTCCCACAGCCGTGGGAATGAGCTCGTGACCTCAGTCATCATGTGGTTCAACACTGGGGTGAGTAAACAAACAGCAACTCTTGTTCCTCTCACGTCCAAGCTATGTCCATAGAGGAAGACGAGCTGTCTGCCAGCCAGGCCAAGAGGCACAATGTCACACCTCCACCTGCACATGCATTTTGGGAGTCCTCCCACTGCCCAGTGACACCAAGGCCACCCCATACCTTGTTTTGTGTTAGCTGATCGGCCCAAGCCTCTGTCACTTGCTTCCTGTGCAGCTCTGACTCCACCTGGAGACACAACAGATGCAGCATAGCCATCAGTGCCAGAGCTTCTCCTGTCCCCAGGGATCTTCCCCTGGGATCTTCCAGACTGACTGGAGCACCATCTGGCCCAGCCACAATCCCAGCATAATCTGCCTCTGCAGAAATGAGATCATCTGGGTGTCCTCAGTGCCCCCCAAGTCCCAAACTGAAGGTCAGTGTCACATGGAAAACACCACAGTGACACTGATCAGGGCTGGAGCAGCAGGTGGGTGGGATAGAGAATGAGGAAGCACTACAGCATGGCAGGAACAACTGTAAAAAGCACCTGAGATACTTGTTCTGGGTCAGAACAGATTTCTGACTGGTTTTTTAAAGTAGCAGCTTTGAGGGCTTAAACTTACAAAGTTAAACCAATTCACCTTTTTGCCTTTTGCTGATCAGAACTTGGGGCAACTGCTGCGATATGACACGAGTGACAGCAGTAGAAATGTGATGACTTCCAAGTTAAAAGCTAGTTTAACACATATAAGGCAGTGGGGACTAAGAAGAAAGTAACATCACCTCCTGGAGCTCCACATTATTCATCCCATGCTCCTGCAGCTGCTGCTCAACAACCTGAGAACACAAGAGTGGATCAGGTCAGGATACAGGAGGGATCAGCACCCCAAACCCCTGAGCCACATAGGGCACCAAGTGCTGGGCATGGGGAACGCTTGGGGAGCCTCTAGCAAGTCCTGCTGGCACAGTGAGTGGCCCTCCACCGGGAAGGATGCAGGACGAGCTCCGGGATGCGGGATGAGCCGCGGGATGAGCCGCGGGATGCA